ACATCTGTCTGTGTGGATCATAACAAATGATGGCTAACATTGAGAATCCTAGAACACTTAATTGTGCTCATGCAAAACCTGTATCTAGACCAAGAAGCTGTTGTCTAAACTAAGCAAGGGTATCCTGCGGGACTTAAAATCAGAAAAGGTGTGGATAAAGGTTGTATTTCCCCCTTATGTATTAAATCTATATGCAGAGCAAATCATTTGAGAAGCTGATGAATATGTAGAAAAATGTGGCACCAAAATTGGAGGTAGACTCATCAACATCCTGCTTTATGGAGATGATACCACCTTGCTTGCAGAAACTGAAGAGGACTCGAAACACTTAAATATGGATTACATCTCAACATAAAAAAAAAACCCTCAAAATCCTCACCACTGGACCAATAGGCAACACTATGATAAATGGAGAAAAGATTGAAGTTATCAACAAATTCCTGTTACTTGGATCCACAATTCACATGCATGGTAATGGGTTGTTGTTATTATGTGCCATTAAGTCAACTACAACTCATAGTGATTCTATGAACAATATCTCTAAACCTTGCCCTATCCTGAGCCAATCTCTCAGTTTCTGTTACCTCAATCACTGTTTTTAAGACATCTAATCCAAGGTCTTCCTCTTTTTCACTGTTCCAATCATGATGTCCTTCTCCAAGGATTGGTCCGTCTTAGAAACAAGCCCTAAGTATGTAAAATGGAGTTTCAAAATCTTTGCCTTCAAGGAGCAAACTGTTTTCACCCTCTCCAGGATGGACCTGTATGTTCTCTTCACATGTTTAATACTCTTCTCCAGCACCACAACTTAAGGACACCAATTCTTTTTTTGTCATCCTTAGTCACTGTCCAACTCTCCAATGCAGAGCATGTGATTGTGAAGAATATGGCCTGGATCAGGTGCACCTTATTCCCCAGACTGACATCATTACTCCTAGCATTCTGGAGAGGTCCTTGACAGCTGACTTTACCAATGCAATTCGTCTTTTCTTTACTTCTGGTGCCAAGAATGTTGATTGTAGAGCTGAGGAAGATGGAATTGTTAAAAATCTCAATCTCAACAACTCTATCATCTCACCCCAGTAAGAATAGGAAAATTTAACAGAACAGCAAGCAACAAATGCTGGCAAGGTTGTGGAGAAACTGGAACCCTTATTCACTGTTGTGGAAGTGTGGTGCAACCACTGTGGAAGGCGGTATGGTGCTTTCTCCAAAAGTTGCAAGTAGAGATAGCATTTGACCCAGCAATTCCACTACTGGGAATATACCCCAAAGAGACCATAACTGACATCCAAGCAGATATATGCACACCCGTGTTTATTGCGGCTTTGTTCACAAATGCAAGGAGTTGGAAACTATGTAAGTGACCATCAACAAACGAATGGATAGAGAAGCTCCGGTATATTTACACAATGGAATACTATGCTGCATTGAAAAACAAGGAACTCATGCAATATTATTTAAAATAGGTGCCCCTGGAGGACATTATGCTGAGTCAAGTACCTCAGTTACAAAAGGACATGGTGCCACTGTTGTAAAACAGGACTGACATAGGGGTTGGGGGGAGACTGAGAAAGATGGGTTCAGTAATGTATACTGCAGTGAAACAGATGAGGGGGAAAAACTGTTTAAAGGGATATGTGATTAGGTATTTTTGTCATGACAGGAGTCCAGAGCAAAGGCTGCATAGTGGAGTGAACCTGGGGGGAGGTATTGTAAAACAATGAAAGACTTTTTTCTTTTACTTTTCCAAGAGGGGAATGTAGGGGGGGGGTGGTGCAGGGAAGGGTTGGGAAGGGAGAAAAGTGCAACAATGAATGAATGGAAATGCAAAGTCTCTAAATTTTCATTGAAATTAGTAACAAAAATTTTAAAAAGATCTCAATCTCTTCTCCATCTATCATGATGCTGCCAGTTGGCCTGGTGGTCAGAACCTTTGTTTTCTTGATGGTAAGCTGCAATCCACATTAAAGAATGCTGCAATTCTTGACCTTCTGAAGCAAAAACTTCATGTCCCTCCTCAGTTTTTGCAGGCAAGATTGTGTCATCTGCACAATGCAGGCTGTTGTTGAATCTTCTTCCAATCCTGATGCCATATTCCTCCTCATAAAGTGCAGTCTCCCAAATGATCTGTTCCTCATATAGATTGAAACAATATGAGAAAAGACACATCCCTGATGTACTCCTTTGTTGATTTTGAACCATGTAATGTTTCTTTGCTCTGTTGGGATGACTGCTTTTGATCTAAGTATACATTTCTCATGAGCATAATCAACTGTTCTGGGATTTCCATTCTGCTCAGTATTACCCACAAATTGTTGTGACCCACACAGTCAGATGCCTTTGTATAGTCAATAAAACACAAATACTCTTTTGGTACCTTTTGCTTTCAGTCAAGGTCTGACATTGGCAATGATGTCCCTAATGTCACAGCCTCTTCTAAACCCAGCATGTATTCATAGCAGTTCTGTGTCAATAGTATTCCATAGTAGTAGCACTCAGAATAAAAAGATATTTTATTGGGAAAATCTGCTGTTAATGACCCCTATAAACTGCTGAAAAGCAATGTTATCAGTTTCAAGTTCAAGCTGTGCTTAATCTAATCTAGTCTTTTTAATTACTTGCTATGCATCTGAAAGTTAAACAATGGATACAAATGACAGGAGGAGGGCGATCTGATGCCTTTGAATTGTGCTATTGCAGAAGAGTACTGAATATTCCATGGGCTGTCCAAAGAACAAAGAAATATGTGTTGGAAAAAGTGCAACCCTGGTGCTTCTTAGAGGCAAGGATAGTGAAACTTTGTCTCGCACAGTTTAAGCATGCTTTCAAAAGGAACCAGACCTTGGAAAGGAGTATCATGCTGGGTAAGGTGAAGAGTCAGAGAAAGAGAAGGGCACAGTGACTCTAACAATGGGCTAGAGTGTATCAGAGATGAATGAAGGCAGTACAGGATAGGGCAAGGTTCAAATATGTTGTTCATAGGATTGCTATGAGTTGTAGTCCACTTAACTGCACCTAACGACAAAATAAACTACCATAAAGTTGTTTCCAGTGTTACAAGAATTCTGTTTTAACCCACTTAGACTTAAAAGTGGTTACTGTTGTTTGGCACGATTAAGTCAACTTTGAGTCATAGCAATTTTATGAGACTCCAAATGTGGAACATAATACAAATCAAAGTTTTGTTTTCCTAGTTGAGACATGGCACTAAGTCACATGTCACATCTTCTACTGTGATCCCATTCCCCTAACGTTTTTTCTTACTATATCTAGGTCTTCTTCAAGAAAATTATCCAGGAATAAGCATATTATTATACCATTCCACAAAGGGAGATTAATATTGAGAAAGACCAGCAGTAAGAAACTGTGAAAAAGAACAGTATGCTGAATGCAAGAAAGTTTTGTTACCATGCCTTTGAGTATGAAGACTCATAGTTTAACCCCAGGAGATTTTCAGAAGCAGTAAATCTCATTGTAGATTACCTTTTTTCCCCAGAGAGTAACTGGTGGATTTGAACTCTATGCCTTTGAGTTGCCCATGCAACTCTTTACCACTACATCACCAATAGCTTTCTAAAACTGCTCGGAAGGAGATTTTTCAACTTTCTTCCTTGGAGTTGCTGGTGGATTTGAACCAAATGTCTTTGAGTTGGCAGCCCAATTCCTTGACCTAGAGGTAAGGAAGGCATTGCACTGCCAAACCAAAGGCAAGTGGTTCAAACTGACCAGTGGCTCCTTGGGAGAAAGAAGGACAAACTCCTTTTGTGAGATTCACAGTCTCTGAAAATGTGCTGGAGGCTCAGCTATGAGTCTTTTCTGACTTGGTGGCACATAACAATTCCCACTAGAAGGCTTTTCTACCTGCTGTTCTCTCTGGTGGATATTATATTCTTGCATGTTTTTTCATAGCTTAGGCCTTCGTTTCCTAAATCCTCAGTCATAAAAAACTATTGTTGTTGTTAAGTCCCGTAAAGTCGTAGATGACTCATAGCAACCCTATGAATCAAAGACCTGAACACTTGTATAACTTTCATAATTTCTCCACGTTCATTGTTTCCAGAGGAAGCTATTTGAGAAGTGGATGCCACTCCTGCTTCCAAGCTTGTTTTAATTGGGATGCTCCACCAAGCTCTGTCCACCATGGGTAACCATTACCATTAACATTTGTGTCACAATGTTCAGCATCACAGCAACGAGTTACCTCTGTACAGCAAATGGACAGACCAATGCTGTACCATTTAGAAGAATGTTTGACCAAAAACAATTAAAACCAGGACTGAGTGCCATGGATTAAAATCACCCACCTTTGGCTTGGTATCATAACATTCTATCCACTTGGCCAACAGCATTCTCTCATTGTCGTTAAGTGCCATCGAGTCATAGATGACTCATAGCGAACCAGCACCCTAATTTTGGTTAACTCCTTTTTTATCTTGCTTGGCAGCATGTATAACTGTAGGTATTTAGAAGTTCCACCAGAATGTATTTACAGAAATATACTAATTCAGTTAGCTTGAATCTTGAAAAGTTATATTTAACTTTTATTAGACTAAAATTAAAGAAAAAATAGGAGAAATTTTAAGGATGCTCTGGCTTGAAGAAAATTGTAGCTAACGGGCTAAGACAAAACACCATACAGTGCTGGAGTTAGAACTGTAACTGAATCCAATGTTCTTTCAAAATTATATTTCTCAGCCTTCTAATAAACAAAGCTCTTCCCCAGTTTTTGGTAAAAACTAATCTTACCACGTATATTTTAGTTCTAGCAGGTTATCCCATAATATTAAATGGCGTTTTGAGACATATTACATAACAAAATAGTGTTTTTAAATGGAATGTTATAGAAAGTCTTAAATTTGTAGCACTAATTTTAATTAGTAAACTCAGAAATTGTATTTGACATTATTTATTTTTACTTCAAATAAGAAATAGCACACACTTTTTCAGTTTATTGTATAAACTGGTTTTTAATATATAAAAATCTTGTATTTTCCAAGGAAGAGGAAGAAAATGAAACATTCGAACTAAGCAGAGAATATGAAGAATTAATTAAATTAAAAAGAAGTGGGTCAATTCAAGCAAAAAACCTTAAAAGTAAGTTTGAAAAAATTGGACAGTTATCTGAAAAAGAAGTACAGAAGAAGATAGAAGAGGAACGAGCACGAAGAAGAGCAATTGACCTTGAAATTAAAGAACGAGAAGCAGAAAATTTTCATGAGGTATATAATTTTATATTTAACATAATCATGGTACAGTAATGACAATAAGAAAATATGCTTTGATGTTAGTGTTGATACTTATCCTTAATCACAAGTACATATATTTTAGTAACTAAATAGCAAAAGCATATTGTGATTGGAAAAGGGCTTTAAAAAGATCTCTTCACTCTACTGTTGTTTCTAAGTATCTTTAAAACTTACGGTGAACATATCAAATGGTTCAATTAACAAAAACAGTTGCATTTATTAGCATTTTCCAGTCTGAATCAGGACAATCATATGATAAATTCTAGAGAGTATTCCTGTTTTAAAGGCCCATAAAGCTTGCATGCTTTATGCTCAAAGTCACACTCATAATTCAGTGACAGAATTCAGATAAAATAAATTGAAATAACATATGTAAAATGAAAGGCCATCACTAAATTATGTGCAAGTTCATTTCTAGCCCAAGAAGTATTTCCATGTTTATGAATACTGGTTAAATGTGATCTGATTTTTTTTTTCCCACCAGAAACTGTCATTGTATAATACTGAACAGCATTTAATCTATATTCTTTTAAAAACACTTAGCTAGCACTACAAGTGTGGGAAGGTGAGAGGGCCTTCAGAAGAAAGTGCAAATAAAAGGACAGAATGAAAAAACTGCATTAATTGCTATGAGCAATTAAATAATGAGGAAAGCATTAAGTACAAGGGCCAGAAAGGCAAATATAAAGGACAGAGGAGCTGACCATGGAGGCTCGTTGTTGTTAGGTATCGCTGAGTTGGAACCGACTCATAGCTGACTCTCTAGCGAGTTGTCAGAGGCAGTTAGATGCCTGGGTGGAGATTTCCCATCTTTCTCCCGTGGAGCAGCTGGTGGATTAGAACTGAGTGCCTTTCGGTTGGCAGTGCAACTCCTTACCACTAAGCCACTAGAACTCTTGGAAGCTCTTGATGTCAAGTAAATTGACTTTGTTTTTCAGGACTTTGTTTTGAAGCTGTGCTGAAGGGATTTAAAACAAGAAAAATTAAAATGTTATCAAATAGGTATTTTATAGCTAATTCATGCTAAAGTTAAAGATGCTTTCCAGATATGTGCATTAAAAACTATTTGAATGCCTACTGTGCTCCAGGAACGTTCTAGGCATTGGACCTACCTTTGGTGACTCCCCGTGATCATGTTGATTGGTTGTTGCTGTTGAGTCACAAGTGACTCATAACTGGGATTCTGAGACTGTAAACTGTACAAGAGGAGATTGCCCATTTCTCTCTCCAAGGAGCTGGGGATAGCAGCACAATTCCCTATGAACTAAGCCACTAGAACTCCTTTGCTTATGTAGCACTTTCATTATAACGTGTAGGATAGGGTGGAGAAATAGAAAATACCATTACATGAATATGATGGTGTGACTTCACCTCACATACTTTGGGCATGTTATTAGGAGAGGCTAACCCTAAACAAAGACATAAAGCATGGCAGAGGGTCATCAAAAAAGAGAGGTTCTCTGCAAGATGGATTGACAATGGTTACAACAATGGGCTCAAGTATGGCTTGTGCTTGTTGTGAGGGGGGAACAGGACCAGGCAGAGTTTCATGTAGGGTTGCTATGAGTCAGTTTACTCAATGGCACCGAACAGCAATAGAGTTACACAGATTAATAAGGCAAGTCAAAGGGGTAAGGAGTGTCCCCCCACAAAACTGTGCCAACTTGGCTAGGCCATGATTCCCAGTAGTGTGTGGTTGGACTCCATTTTGTGACCTGATGTAATTATACTTCAATTCATGATATTCCTATTTATGTGTTGTAACTCTTAACCTCTATGTGTTATAGTCAGAATACTACTTAGTGAAAGAAGGATCGTCACAAGATGGACTCACAGAATGGCTGCAACAAAGGGTTCAAACACTGCAGTAATTGTTAACCCGGCAGTCTTTTCTTCTTTTGTACCTGCAGTCACTATGACTCAGAACCCAGTCTATATCAATGGCATCTCAGAGCATGTGTTAATAATGCAGGATCAGTGTCGTAAATCTTGAGTAATAGGCTTACAAGTTTCAGTGACTCAAGTCACATTCTTAATCAAGCCACCACTTACTAAAGACATATACTTACCTAAGCCACCTTTTTATAAGAGATGAAAGGAGAGGAAAGACCTTAACACTACAAAGAAAGAAGGGCTGGGATTAGCCCAAGGTCCGTGCACTGAGAATTTCCTAGACCCTGGGGAAAACTAATGCCAATTAGCTTCAAAAAACCACCAGTTTTACAGATATGGAAAAGAAACAAAGACCTTCACATAAATGTGATACTCTGAAGTTGGACTTCAAACTGGCCTAGTGGTAAGACACTGCACTGCAATCCAGAAAACATACTGTTCAAATTCATCAGCTGCTCCACTGGAGAAGGATAGGCAATCTCCTCCCATGCAGTTAACATCCTCTGAAAACCCATTGGAGGGTCAGCTATATGTGGGTTCTGACTCTATGGTAAACAACCACCACCACCACCTAAACAATAATGAGGAAATATATTTTATTAAAGCTATCCATTTGTGGTACTTGTTATAATATCACTAGAACATAAGACAGAATTTGGTATTGCCCTAATGGGTTGCTGCTCTGATAAATGTGGAAGCAATTTTGAAATTGGCTAATAGGTAGGGACTTGAAGAATTTAAAAGAAGCACTGGTGGCCTAGTGGCAAGAAGCTGTGCTGCAATCCCTAAGGCACGCAGTTCATATCCACCAGCCGCTGGATAGGAAAAAGATGGGCAATCTCCTCCTGTGCAATTTACTGCCTTTGAAAACCCGACACAGGTCAGTTCTGACTCAACAGTACACAACAAAACCACCACCCAATTGGAAAGGCCCTGATTGTCTTGAGACTGTTTGTAGAATTATGAACACTAAAGACCGTTTTGGAGAGGGTTCAGAATAAATTGGGGAGAACTGTAGCCTCTTTCCTTTTATACATTTTGCTTCAATAATGAGATGATGCTAGAAATGTGGATGTTAAATGCATTTCTGGTGAGGATTTAAAAGAAAATGCCACTTTTAATGCACTGAGAAGAACTTCCTGACTAATGTTCAAATTTCTGGTAGAAGGTAAAAGCTGTGAGGAAACTGAATACAGCTGAGACTTCTAAGCAAGATATTTAAGGAATCATGTAGTTTCTTCTTGCCACTTATAGTGCAATGCATAAGAAATGGACTTTAAAAAATTTAAAAAAGAAATGGACTTTAAAAAAGAACATTTAAAAAAATGAGAAATTAGCAAGATTTTATTGTACAAAATAAAGACAAATGTCCTAGAATGTTCACCAATGATGTGCCTACGCAGCATAAACTTTCGTAAAATGAGAAGCCTCTGGTTAATGAATCTAACCAACTACCACAGCAGAAAAGCCAAAGGACACTGACAAAGGTGAAGATGCTATCTTGCTTCTGGAGTTCTACAGGCAGGAAACAGATCAAAGGACAACTACTATTGTCCTCCAAGAAAAGAACAGAACCATACTGGAGGCACTCAGAGATCTGTAAAACTATTGGAAGGATCATGGAAAGAAGAGCTGCTTGCGTCTCAAAGGGGAGAATCACAACCTCCTAGGTTTAATGGAGTTGGATCTTTACCAACTCAGTTTAAGAGTATGGGCCTGCTATTAAGATGCATCAAGGAAAGATAAAGATGAAAGCTGAAGGTGCAGGGTGCCATGATAAAGTATTAAAGAATGGGACCTACAAGGGCCAAAAGAGCAGGGTAACACTTAATGGACTGAAATTGGGCCATTCTAGAGTGAAGGTGCCACCTCAATGCGCCTGGAAGGCAGAGAAGAAGCCCAGGACTGGCAGCCTCTAACCAGAATCTAGAGAGCTTAACATGCAGTCTAGAGGGCAAGGTTATTGCCCAGATGGCCTCAGAAAAAATAAGCTTATTTAAAGGTTTGAGAGCTAATGTACATTATTTTGCTGGGATTTGATGGGCTGTTCCATCACTGTACTGTGCAAACAGTTACCTTGTCGTATAGGTCTTTTAAGTTCACAAATGACCAGGATTTTTGCCGCAGAATGGAATATGCTTAATGTACAACCTATCTTTGATTGAGATTACTCGGATGAGAAAACTTAACCTTAATTGATCTAGAGTCAACTGAAAGACTTTAGGGATAATAAAATGGGCCATTTCTCATGTAGCAAAGTTATGAATTTTAGGATGCTTATTGCAGCTGTTGTTAGGTGGTCACCCACAGTGACTCTGAAGAAGAGATCTGAGCCCTGTCCTATTCTATGCCATCCTCACACTTCCTGATACATTAGAGCCCCTGGAGGGCAGTCACCACGTCAACCCACCTAGGTAAGAGTCTTCCTCTACTTTGCCGATCCTCCACCCTTCTGAGCCAACATGTCCGTCTCCAAGGAATAGCCCCTCCTAGCTTTGGGACTG